ACAGAAAATCCCACAATATCTGCTTTGAACTGGGTTATCTGAGCCACACTCAGATAATGTGGAATTGTCTGCCTTGATATAGGGCTGTGTGGAAGGCCCCTAAAACTAGATAGATAGATAGATAGATAGATAGATAGATAGATAGATAGATAATGAATAGATCGATAGATACTTCGAGAATCGTTCAAATATTTTTGCATGTATCACTAGCCCTAGTTTCTCCCTGCAGGCACCACAACCATGTCTCCTCACCACAAGGGCCCATACTTCCCCTTTGGGACTTTCACGTTTTGATTCCCATTCCGTACTCTTTAATTCAGAGCTCTGTGAATCATGGTGACAAAAGGAAGCCCTTGGAGCCATTGGAGTGTGGACAGATGGAAACAAGAGGGAGTTCAGCATACCGAGTCTTCTCCAGTTCCCCCTCCCTGTATCACTTTCCCAGTAACTTTTACTCATTCTTTAAATGCGACAGATAAACACCAAAAATTCAGTGCCTAATTTCCTGCCAGTGATGAATGGAAAATCTCAGCTTTCCCTTTTCAGGCAGTCATTACCTCATCCTAGTTTTTCTTTTGCCCTTTCTGTTCTCTTCATAGACTACTTACCATAAATAAAGCTCAGGTGACCTTTCCCAACCCAAGCTGCTATTGTTTGTGGATACTGGATAATTTGTGACTATAACACTGCAGCCAAAAATACAGTAAAATAAAATAACCAACTAAGTTGATGGAATCCTTGCCAAAGACAGATTTCCATTTTTCTAACAGAACCTTGACTGCAATTTATTGCTTCTTTTCCCCGAGCCACTGAGATCACGGTGAATATTATGTGCCACTGCAAGACAGAAAACAGTGCAGACAGCAATTTCCACATCTAACTCTGGGTTGCTAAGGGCAGAGTGTAGAAGGTTGCTTGGGGGAAGGCAATTTCAATATACAATAAATTATCTAGATTATGGTAACAATGCAATAATAATAATAATAATAATAATAATAATAATAATAATAATAATAGCAACAACAATAATACTTTATTTATACCCCGCCACCATCTCCCCAAGGGGCCTCGGGGCGGCTTACATGAGGCCAAGCCCAATAACACATCAGTAAAAACAAAACAGCAAGCAAATAAAACAGTACAATGAATATAACTCACATATAAACAATAACACACAGAATTTAAAACCTTATGGTTTATCTATCTGCAATGTTTTTAGACTCCTCTACCAGAAATCTCTAGTACTTCACCAAATTGCAAACCCAAGGATTTTACAGGGTACCACCATGGCAGTTAAATTGATATCAAAGTGCTATATCTGAGTAGTGTGAAAGAGATCAGCAAAAGGACACCAAAGTATAAAGTTCCGACTAGTTTCAGAACTGGATTTTCAGTTTCAGAAGATGTTCACTCATTTTCTTTTTGTCCACTAAGGCTCCAAACCCTAAGGACTGAGGAATGAAAAAGCAGTAGGGAACTTTTTACCCAGCAAAGTAAGCTTTGTGATGGTTCTCAATTTGACCTTGGTCAAGTCACACTCTTTCACCTGTAGAAGAAGGGATTGGCAAATCTCTTCTGAATAAATATTTCTAAGAAAATGCCTGAAGATCACTACAGGTCAGAAATAACTTGAAGGCACTCAACAATTACAATTCATTCTTCTCCTTCCCACCACAGCTAAGCCATTAGACATCTGCAACACAGCACCAATTCACATCTAGAGAGGAACATGGACAAAATCCAGATCACTGATGGTAACCACCTAGCTTGCTGAAGGTGCCCCAATGGCTTGTTTCAAACTTCATGGGGAACCTGCAGATAACCAAGGCCCATTCCACACAGCTGTATAAAATCCGCAATGAACTGGATTATACGGCAATGTGGACTCAGATAATCCAGTTCAAAGCAGATATTGTGGATTATCTGTCTTGATATTTTAAATTATATGGCTACATGGAAGGGCCCATAGACAAGCAGACCCATTCAATCAAATGTTGAATATTGAGTCAATGCATAAGTAAATCCCTTTGATTCAATGGAACTATTCTAATAGGAATTAACAACATTTTGCCCATAATGTGTTTAGTCTACTAGATATATTTTATGGAGATTCTCCATTTGCAGCTAATTCAAGGAAAAAAAGAGAGCGAAGTAGTACCAATTCTTATAGCGGTGGTTTCTAGTTCTTGCAATATATAAACATATCTTTGTATATTTATAAGCAACTCCAGTGAAATCTTTATAAAACATAAAGTAGTCTGCTCTTCATTCAGTTAGGAAAGGTTACCAAAAAGGAAACCAGCCTATCACTTTTAAGAAGGGAATTCCGGTAAAGCAGCTACAATGAAGGCTTTATCCTACATTCCCACAAAATGTGCCTGTGAAAGTGTAGGACAGAGAGACATGGCTCGTATGTTTGGGCAGGCTCATATGGGAAGATATGATTCTTCAGATAGCCTGGACCTGAGATTTAGGGTCATAACCAGCAATTTGAATGGTGTCCAGAAACATATTGACAGCTAATGGGACAATTGTATCAAGGGAGTTATTACTCAGACCAATTCATTTAATTTCTCCATAACGAGATGTTACAGTCCAACCTTGGAAAGAAGTTGGGATGCTTACTCATGGTTTCAGATGTGGGGTTGACCTGAACAGAACTTCCCATTCTCATATAACTGCAAGTAGGGTTTTGGTTCCTATGCAACCGCATGCCATTTTCTCCATGACCAAAACCATTAGGTGATTGTGCTAAGTTGTACGTCTTGATCAGTCATGAAGAAAAGACTCTGAGTCCCGCCTGTTGTGTCACTGATGCATGCAATGCAAGAACTGCTCTGTAATACTTTGCTGGGCTCAGCATGAATGATGAACTTGCAGTAATGAAGAAATGAGAAAAGAAGTGGCAACAACATGCCACAGAGGGACTCATGGCATTGCTCCATCACCAGGGTCAGACCAAGGGCACAGTGAACTGTGTAATAAAGCATTTTGATTTTTGCTTATCATAAGCACAGACTAAACGAGAGACAAGAGATCTTTGATCTTTCAAATGTGCTGAATCAAAACTGCCAAACATCTTTCCCATCAGCTACATTGGTTGTGTCTGGTGGGGACTTCAGTATGAAAGCCTCTAAAGCAGTAGTTCTCAACCTGTGGGTTCCCAGATGTTTTGGCCTACAACTCCCAGAAATCCCAGCCAGTTTACCAGCTGTTAGCATTTCTGGGAGTTGAAGGCCAAAACATCTGGGGACCCACAGGTTGAGAACTACTGCTCTAAAGGATCTATAGCTCTAGAGCTATGATAAGCCATTGTGCCCAATCCTTCATATTTAAGAAGGTTTCAACCATAATACATAGAAAAAGTATTTTGCTCTCCAACGTATAGTATCTACAAGCAAAATGAGTAACCTATTTGCCAATTTTGAGACCTCCATGAATAAGAAATGTCCCAGGGTTCCTGGATGTAAACACACACACACTTACTTCCTTACTTAGGTGATCTTTCGGTTTCCGAGTATGATGGCCTTCCAAGTGTAGGGTCTTGGCGGTGGATTTGTAGGTGACTGTAGAGCCTTATTCTTGACTCTTCCACACTGAGGACATTGATTTCCAGGTGGAAGGCCATTCCAGTCAGGGTTGGCTTGATGCGCCTTCCTCTTGGCATGTTTCTCCCTTTTGCTCTCCATTCGTGCCTCTTCAAATTCCACAGCACTGCTGATCACAGCTGACTACAGCACGGGCGCTCAAGGACCAGGCTTTCCAGTTCTTGGTGTCAATGCCACAGACTTTAAGATTAGCTTTAAGCCCATCTTTAAATTTCTTTTCCTGTCCATCAACATTCCTTTTCTGTTCTTGAGTTCAAAGTAGAGCAATTGCTTTGGGAGACTGTGGTCAGGCATTTGGAAGTGGCCAGTCCAGCAAAGTTGATGGCATAGGAACATTGCTTCAGTGCTGGGGGTCTTTGCTTCTTCCAGCATGCTGACATTTGTCCACCTGTCTTCTCAAAAGATTTGCGGATTTTCCGGAGGTAACGGGTGATGGAATCGTTCCAGGAGTGTGACATCTGTAGACAATCCACATTTTGCAGGCATATAGAAGGGTTGAAAGAACAACAGCTTTATAAACAAGCACCTTGGTCTCCCTACGGATGTCACAATCCTCAAACAATCTCTGCTTCATTCAGAAAAATGCTGCACTCAGACGGTGTTGTACTTCAGTGGCAATGTTGACTTTGGTGGAGAGGTGGCTGCCAAGGTAGTGGAAATGGTCAACATTTTCTAACGTTACACCATTAAGCTGAATTTCTGGCATTGGAGAGGGACTGGCTGCAGTGCCAGAAACACACATACACATATACCACTGCTGCTATGGTATCAAACTGCTATAATTCTGTACTGTGGATCATGTCTGTGATGGTAGAAAGTTTGTACCTTTCACCCAAATGTTGGTGTAATGAGAAAAACCATGCTATGTCAATTTCCACATCACAAGTAAAGTTTGCATTTTTTAAATTGCACATAACTGGTAGAGCAGGGACTTTAGGGTAAAGCTAAGCAATAATAATCAGATACATAATATAAAAACATCGTGAGATATGAAAAAACATCCCTTTGTGAGGGATGAAGCATCTGGATTGGGGTGTTCTCCAGATGCAGCCAGTGCTATGATGCTGCCTTGTGACATGCCGTGTTGAATTTGTCTGGAGCCCTCTTCAAAGTCAGTTTCCTTAGCAAACACCAGTATTACTTTTCTTCCATTAAGTAATCTAAAATTTCCCCTAAATCCTTCTGAAAATGGTGAAACCTGCTGCTGTGTTGCTGCTTCTGGTCCCACCCCACAATTGCCCTTTTCCTCCCCCCCAGTATCCTATCCTGCCAGCATCTCTATCACTTAAGTCGGATTAATCAATCAGCGCACACCCCATCCTGGCATGACTTGACTCTGGACTTGAAACCACAGGCTGGGGCTGTCCCGCCCCTTTGGCAGTCGGGACAGGAAAAGCAGGGGGAGACAAAGGGGAAGTGGGGTAATATTTAAGTACGAGCCAGAAGGGCTGGGAAACGCAGTCTGAAGTGGCAGAGGACACCTAAAGAGATCAAGGTGAGACGGAAGCTCTAACTGTTCTTTTGCAGCATTCTTGATCCAATCCTGCCTCCTATCCTATAGGAAACCTACTGCGACCCTTTAACAGAGCTCTCTTTAGACTGCAACTCATTTTACCAGGGAAACATCCTAAGGAACTCAGGAATCCCTTGTCTTCTTGTCATTCCTCCCTGATCTTGCTCTTCTTATTCACTCCTGTCTTCTGAACTCCCACAGGCACCACTATCCATGGAAATTCTGGTTTGGTTGGGTCATTTAGCAATGTATTCCTCTCTTCAACCTGTTTTCTTCTTTTCAAACTCAGTCCTGCCCTTCATTGCTTATCACGGAACCAGGATACAGAGAATCTTTGTTCCTCTGGGAGTGCAGATCTCCTTTGCTCAGATGTCAGAGCTATCAATTGCTCTCCTAATCCTGCACCCCTGCAGCTCTGTCTGGGATTTTTCCACATCCCTTTCTTCCAATTCCCTCTTCTGAAATAATTCTACCTTCTCCACTCTCCAAGTCACATTTCTCCTCATCTTCTTAGCAAAAAGAAAGAATGAAAGAAGGAAGCAAAATGAACGTGGCTCAAGTAAGCGGATTCCTGGCTGTCAGCTTCCTCCTCCTCGCTCTGCTAGGAGATACCACTGAGGCCTGCTCCTGCGCCCCCCGGCACCCCCAGTCGGCATTCTGCTCTGCTGATATCGGTGAGTCTCTGGAACCCAGTAGCATCAGTGAACTTTCTCTTTGCAGTCTCTCACCTCTCCCTCCATGTCAACTTGCTATCTGCTATGAAACCTGATGCTCCCTGTTCTCTGAATTCTTTTTTTTCTGTATTCTTAAATACAGTGCATGCCCTCAGGTTCCATGCTCAGTCTGTAAATAGCCACTTGTTTGGTTGCTTTGCAGTACATATGTTGCAGGGCTTTATAGGTGTGCATCTGTGTTATAAAGAGGGGAAAGAGGAGGGTCTGAAAAGAGGGCTATATGAGAACCAAGAGGAACCATGTACAAGAAAGGAGATTTTGGCTAAACATTGAGAAGAATTTCTTGGAGGTACAAGCTGTTGAAAGAAGCTGCCTTGCAAGATGACAGACACATTTTTACAGGAGGTTTTCAAACAGAGGATAACTTTCCTCCTTCAAACTCTCTGGTTTTACGATCAGGTTGAGCAACACACAGCCCACTGGCAGCATGCAGTCCCTTTATCCATTTTGAGGCTTCTTCCTTTCCTGGGGAGAAAAAAAAATCTTCTCTATAGTCCATGGTGTATGAAGGGATCAAACTGGTATCATCCTGCACTAGAGATCTGCTGCACTTGATAGAACAGTAGTTCCCAATCTTTTTTTGACCAGGGACCACTTTGATCATTGACCACCTCTACCAGGAACCACTCTCCAAAATTAGTACCAAAAGGGTTACAAATCAGATTTTGGTCAACTTCATCGGTTTGGTTATTTGGGGGTGCTGATTCAGAAAATTGCATTGGATAGACCACATCAGCTGTATTTTCTGATACAGAACATATGCCATTCATAATCGCCATCTGCTTGCCCACAGAAAACCATATTTAATAATCTAGAGCCACTGACCTTATTTTAGGTCTCACGGCACACATGTTGGGAACCACTGAGATAGAAGATTTCGGTGCCATTAAAAGTAAATGAATCATAGAATCTTATGGAAGTGACCATAAGGACCATCCAGTCCCACCCGAAGCTACATGGGAATATACAACTTCAGCATCCCTAAAAGATGTCCATCTAATCTCTGTTTAAAATGGAGATATTTAGGTATCTAGACTGAAAATAAGCTAAGTCTATCTCATGTTCTGAAGCCATGATAGGTTTCAAAATCTGGCCTTCTTAACCCAAACTAGAAAGAAAGAACTTTAAGCTTCAGAATAGAGCATACAGGGTAGGAATTGGATCCATCAGAGGAAGTCCACAGAGCATTGTGTAGAGTTAACAGTGCACAGCAAAGGTGGAAGAGCTGGAAAACCACAAAAATAAACCTGACAACCCCCTCCAATCCTCTTTTTGCAGTGCTCAGGGTCAGATTTGTGGCTGTGAACAAGATGGAGGGGAACCTCTCAGAAAGAAGGTGGATGTACCATGAGATCAAAACCACAAAGGTAAGCATTTTCTGCTGATAAAACCATTTTCTAAAACACCCATTGATGTTAGAGGAAATGAAATAGCAAAAAAAAATCAATCTATCAATTCTTTTTCTTTAAAAATTTGCATTATATTTACCAAGCCAGCCAGCATGGTGGAGTGATTTGAGCATTGGACTATGACAGCAAACCCGGGTTCAAGTCCCTGTTCAGCTGTGGAAACTCACTGGGTGACCTTTGAGGAAGTCAAAGGCAAGCCCCTTCAGGATAAATCTTGCAAAGAAAGCCCCATTAAGTGTTCACTTCACGGTTGCCATAAGTCAAAACCAACTTGATGTAACACAACAAATACATCTCCCAAAGGTAGATGCAGCCTTTGATTCTCCCAACAAGTTCAGATTATAGTTCTCATCCATTCTCATCAGTTTTTTCTTTCAGGAAAATCCATATTTCTGCACAAAAATACATTTTTTCACTCTGGCTGGCAGAGAAATAGGACTTTTTGACCATTTCTTTCCAGTTTTCACACGGCAATGAAAATCTCATAGCAGTTCTTGAAGCAAGGTGATGACATGCCTGATGATTGTAAGACAATACTATTGACTTGTTGGTTATCCTAAAGTAGCCCTTTGGTCATTGAAAAACCTTCCTTCACTCCACCTCTCTCCAGGTCTACAAAGGTCCCAAGGAGATGCAAGATGTCCGCTATGTCTACACCCCACCCTTTGATAGCGTGTGTGGATACTTCCACAGTGGATCTCTCAAAGAAGAATACCTCATTACAGGTAGGGGATACCACCTACCAGATGGGGAGATATGGGACATTTCACATTCAGATGGATAAACACCCTCATCACTCATGCAAGTGTAGATGCATTTGCCATGGCATGGGGCATTGTCACTGGGGCATAAATGGGAACTGGGGAATATCAGGAGAATTTGATGATGAGGGAAATGCACTTTGTGTGTGCCCAGACACTGTGCTAGCAAATTGTATGTACAAGGAAAATACTTTCCCTTCAGTACCAGTCTGGATCAATCGTATTGGCTGCAAATGGTCAGCCATGAAAACATATTACAGCACAAGCCCAGTATTTGCAGAACTAGTACCTGCAGTTTCACATAAAACAAAATATGTACAACACAAGTAATCCCTAGACCAGTGGTCCTCAACCTGTGGGTCCCCAGGTGTTTTGGCCTTCAACTCCCAGAAATCCTAACATATAATAAACTGGATGGGATTTCTGGGAGTTGTAGGCCAAAACACTGGGGACCCACAGGTTGAGAACCACTGTCCTAGACCAAAAATTCTCACATTTTTTCAGCCGTGGAACCCTTTTTGAAGCAAAAGTTTATCGTTGATTCCTAAGAAATGTTTATATATTAGATCAGAGGTTCTCAAACTTTTTCAGCCGCAGAGCCTTTTCGGAAGCAAAAGTTTCCCGTGGAGCTCCAATAAACGTTTATATATATTAGGTTATATAAAATGTATATATATCAGGCATGGGACCATCCAGTCCAACCCCTTTTCTGCCATGCAGAAAAAGCATATTCAAAGCACCAGATGGTCCTACAGCCTTTGTAGCAGTAGTAGTACTCGTAGTAGTAGGAGTCGCAGTAGTAGTAGTATTAATAGCAAAAATCCCAGTAGCCATCCAGTTCAACTCCCTTTTGCCATGCAGGAAAGGCACAGTTAAAGCACTCACAGAGCAGTGGAAGGAAAATAGGGCTTTGGAAGCAAGGAGGGTGCAAGGGAAAAAAACACTTTTGGTGGCGAGGGAGATGGGGGAGAGGGAGGAAAAGGAAAGAGGAGGAAAAGCTTGGAGGGAGAAGGAGAGGAGGAAACCGCACAAAGCCTCTCAGTAGAAGGCTCCCCAGAGCACACTTTGAGAACCCTACTCTAGAACTTTTCTATGTCTTCCTTGGAATCTTGAGCAGAAGTCCTTCATTTCACTGGAGTTCACAATGCTCCACAATTTCAGGTATAATGCAAAGTCCAGGTACATATCTCCCATTGATACAGAGGTTCCCCTGTTTCTTCTTACAGCATGGCAACGGAGAGCAGCCTTTCGATTATGTGGTTTAGACATACTATAAGTCCACCTTTCTACCTTGTTGAGAAGTAGACAGATGGTTTCCAATAGCTCCCAGTAATCTTCTGTCCCAGAGGTTTAACAGATAAACCCCTGCAGTTTGTCAACATCCACCTTGAAATGCAGAAACCAGAACCCTAGACCCAGTACTCTAGATGTGACCTTGTGGTTTTGAAAATGCTCAGATTTAAGAAGTCAAAGAGAAAATTAATTAAGGTGGAGGGTTTAAGTATAGTTTCCTATCCTCAATTATGACTACCAAAATCAGGGGGAAAATATAGAAAACATTAACTCAGACAAAACGGGTTCTATTAGCATTATTATTCAGGCTAAGGAATAAGCTGTTTTTGGCATAGGATTTGCATTGCTCAGGCACAGACGCATAATGCCATCTGCAAGGGAAGATTATATTCAGCCCATCTTATGATCATGAAAATGGTGATATTAGTGATACCAGGGTGTTGTGTGGTTTCTGGGCTGTATGACTATGTTCTAGCAGCATTTTCTCCTGACATTACGCCTGCATGCCAGCCACAGATGCAGGTGAAACATCAGAAGAAAATGCTGCTAGAACACAACCAAACAGCCCAGAAACCACGCAACAGCCCAGTGATTCTGGCTGTGAAAGCCTTCGACAATGCACAATACCCTTTCCAGCCTTTCCAAGTTATGAAAACAAAATATGCAGCTGCGATCTACCAGGCTCAGCTTTGGGTTTAGCATGTTAACAAAACAATTCTGAATTTGCCATTCCTCCAAGCAAACCGTGGCTTCCCTCTCACTCACTCTTTTTTTCACTTTCAACAGGGAGACTGAAAGGCAACAGAGTCGTGATCACACTCTGTAATTTCATTCGACCATGGGCTGAGATAAGTCTTGCGCAGAGGCGAGGCTTTACCTCAGAGTACAGCAAGGGCTGCTCTTGCTCAGTAAGTATCTGGCCACCAAGAGGGGTTGATAGGTCTCAAGGCTGAAGCAACATCAGACTTAAAAGATCAGAAATTTGCCAGATTTCTAAGGATGTGAGACACATAAGAAGCACCATCCATTCACTGAAGATGCTGTGAAGTTCAAAAGCTAATGTCCTGTTATACTAGTTGGAAACAAGACAATTAAAGATATCAGCTCCTTCTCAATTCTTTCATCCTGGCACTAACATAGCAGCCCAGTTTTATATTATTTAGCAATGTGCCTTTTGGCTACAGGAGAATGCACAGGAAGATGGACAATAAACATCTCTGTTGGTCAACAGACGTGGGTATGGGAGGCAAAAATGAGCCCTCTCAAAAACCAATTCCACTCCCAAGAATTAAATTTCCATTCAGTCCCCAAATTTCCAGTCTTGCAGTAACCTAAAACTTCAGTTGATGATTTAGGAACAATGTTTTTGGGCATGCAAAGAAAAGGGGCAAATAAAGTTATCAAGGAAATGTAAGCACGGTAAATATGAGAGAGTACTGGATGGAAATGGTTTTCATCTCTCTCTCTCTCTCTGTAATGCTAAGTATTCAATTGGGAGGCAGAATTATTTGCTCTTCTGCATACTTACACTGTTTGTTAATTTGGCTGCCAGTCACAGAAAGTGAAGTATGTTTTTCAGCTCCATTATTTTTCTGAGATGACTAAACTCAGTAAAGAACCAGAACTCCTTCCTCTGGGATTAGTATGAAAAGGCATTCCTCTAACCCCTTAGTATGCTAGGAAAATGAAATGGCAAGCAAGGAGCTTTTGTGAGTTTGTTTGAAAGGCAACAGCTGCCAGAGGCCCCTTCTACATCACCCTATATCTCAGGATCTAGAAATATGAGTCCCCACAGACAGATAATCTGGGATCAGATCCTGGGATAAGGGGGCAATGTGGAAGGGGCCAAAAGACTGCAATGAACAGAAGAAGAGAGAAGCAGAGTAGGGGTAGCTAGCCATATATGGAATCACTGGGTACATATTGTGTACACTGGTGTAAATGAGCAAATAACTAAAAGCACAGGGGCAAGGTGAAAATTCATAGCATATGGAACAGCCTAATATAAAAGCAGAAGAGTACAAATATGTGAGAGTTATTTTTCAAGGAGCTATACTGAAAAGTGTCCATTCTTATTTACAAGATAGGAAACCTCTGGAGGGCTAGAAGGTGACTCTAGGCCACTGGTTGCTTATCTCGATATTTAGAGAAGTTGAGACCATATTGCTATAGGAAGGGCATGTTGCAGGATGCACTGGAGGAAAGGGGACATCTTTCTCTTCTGCTCTCCTCAATACTTTCATCTTCCTTTCTTCGACAGATTGTGGACTACTCTACCACCTCTAGCAATGAGTGCCATTGGATGGAACCGTATAGTTCCACAAATCAGAATGACATGGCCTGCCTACCCCAGATGGAAAGAAATGGCACATGCCACTGGCAATCCTTGGACACAAAAGGATCCGGGTCCATTCGTAAGAAGCGACTGGCTCAGTGACATGTCCATAGACTCTCATGGAGCTATAGTTCCATATAGTGAATTCTCTGCCCTACTCTTCTGTCTGTGTCTGTGTTGTCTCTTATTAAATAAATGCCTGTTCCAAACCCACTCACTTGTCCATCATTGTGAAAATGTGCACTTTCTAAAGATGCCGCCATTTGTCTAATGGAAAATCTGGAATTCTGCTAAGATTGGGTAGCCAGATGCTTTCTCTGGAAGAAAACCATGATATCTTGTGGAAATGTTTTTGCAAATGGCTTACAGTGGGCAGGAGGCAAAGGGTGTGGTTTCCAATGGCCCAGCTGAGCATATTTTTCATCATAACTTCTATTCTTATCCTTCCCCCTGTGTGTTGAATGGGGTTTTTTTATGAGTACAAAGGGGAACGGGACATGCCACTGATTCAATTTCCAGATCTTAAGGAAAGCTTGCACTTTATTTTAAAGCACACATCATTGGTAGAGCAGAGAAGGCTTCAGGGTGAAACCAAGTACCAATAGTTAGGAACAAAGGGTACAATTAACATCATGCAGATCTGGGAAAACAAATCAACCACAATTTATTTCTGGGAAGGAATGAAGCAGAAACCTGGATGGGAGCTTTTTCCAGGTGTGGTAACTCTATCTGCCACCTTGTGGCTGGAGACCGCTTCAAAGTCAGTCTTCCAACAAGCACAAGTTTCATTTTTCTTTCATTGAGGTTCCAATTTTCTCCCTAAATTCTTCTGGAAATGGTGAAACCTGCTGCTGCCCTTTCCCTTTCCTCCAGCATCTTGCCTGCATCTCTATTGCTTGAGTCGGACTAATCAGTCAGCGCACACCCCATCCTGGCATGGCTTGACTCTGGACTTGAAACCACAGGCTGGGGCTGTTCCGCCCCTTTGGCAGTCAGGACAGGAAAAGTAGGGGGAGACAAAGGGGAAGTGGGGTAATATTTAAGTACGAGCCAGAAGGGATAGGAAACGCAGTGTGAAGTGGCAGAGGACACCTAAAGAGACTTGCAGAGACCAAGGTGAGATGGAAGCTTTTACTCTTCTTTTGCAGCACTCTGAGCCTTGTTGCAATCCTGCCTCCTATCCTGTAGGCCAGTGGTTTGGTCCTTAGCCTTTGGTCCTCCAGGTGTTTTGGACTTCAACTACTAGAAATCCCAGCCAGCTTACCAGCTGTTAGAAACTGTGGGAGCTGAAGTCCAAAACACCTGGGAACCACTGCTATAGGGAACCCACTGCAACTTCTAAACTGATCCCCTCTATTTAGATTTCCACTCCAGGGAAATATCCTCATGAGCTCCACAAAACTCTTGCGTCCTTGTTGCGTTTCCCTTGTCTTGGTCTATTTATTCACTCCTCTCTTTTGCATTGCAAATTCTGGTATAGCTCTGAGTTCAGAAGGTGCACCCTCTCATATTGCAATCTACTCATCTCTTCATCCTGTTCTCCTCTTCTTTTCAAACTCAGTCCTGCCCTCCATTGCCTGTCACAGAATCAGGAAAATGAAGAGATTTGTTCCTTTGGGAGTCAAGATCTACCTTGCTCTTGGCTGCTCAAAATAGAGCCATTCATCACTCCCCTAATCCTGCACCCCTGCAGCAGTTCTGTGCAGGGTGTTTCCCCACCCCTTCCTTCCAACTTCCCTCTCCTGAAATAACACTACCTTCTCCACTCCCCCAGTCACACCACTGAGTCACATTTCTCCTCGTTTTTTCAGCAAAAAAACAGGATGAAAGAAGGAGAATGGACCTGGCTAAAGCAAGTAAATTCCTGGCTGCCAGCTTGCTCCTCTTCACTCTGGTTGGAGATACCACTGAGGCCTGCAAATGTGCCTCCGAGCACCCCCAGGAAGCATTCTGCTCCTATGATGTCGGTGAGTTTCTGGAACCCAATATCATCAATGAACTTTCTCTCTTTCACTTCTCCCTCCTTGCCTTCTGCTATGAAACCTGATGGTCCCCATTCTCTTGATTCTTTTTTTCTGTATTCTCAACTACAGTGCATGCTCTCACACTCCCTGCTCAGTCTGTAAACAGCCACTTCTTTGACTGTCTTGTGGTAAGTAGGTTGTAAACCACATACAAAAAGACTCTATAGGTATGTGAAGCCATGAAACTGGCATCTTCTGCACCTGAGGGCTATTCCACTTAGTGGGAAAATTTAGTAGCAGAATCATAGAGTTGGATAGGACCACAAGTGACATCTAATCCAATCCTCTGCCACAGGAACCCACAACTACAACATCTCTAAAAGATTTCCATCCAATGCCTGGTTAGGAATTTCAAACATGGCAAGTCACTCCACCCAGGACAGTATATGCCATTGTTGAAAGCAGAATTTATTTTTCAGTAATTTAAATCCACTGTCTTAGGGCCCTTCCACACAGAAAAACCTTAGAAGTGAAATCAAAACTTATCATTGTGATGTCAGATATCTGATGGCCAATCCACACATAAATATCTTAGTTTATTAAATCTGTATTGGGAAACCAGAGGGGAAACCCAGAAGTTATCTAGACAGGAAATAAGCAAAAAAGTCTATCTCACATTCTGTGAAGCCATGGCAGGTTTCAAAATCTGGCCTCACTGACCAGGACACCTCCTAAGCCAAACTAGAAAGGGAGAATGCCATTTTACAAGAAATCTTGTGGGGGCAGACATGGCGACATAACTTTAAGCTTCAGAACAGAGTGTACAGGGCAAGAACTGTCTCCAGCATCATAAGAACCCCACAGATCAGTTAACAATCTACAGAAAAGACAGGACAGCTGAAACAACCATGGAAATAAAACTGACAATCCCCTCCCAACGTCTCTCTACAGTGCTCAGGGTCAAATTTATGGAAAGCGGCAGGATAAACAATAACTTCAAAATCATCAAGGTAAGCATTTTCTCCTACTAACACAGTTTTCTAAAGCACCAATTGACAACAAAAGACATGAAATGGTAGAAAAATACATGTATGTATTCTTTTTCTAAATGGCTATACACCTACCAAGTCAGCCAGAATGGTGAAGTGGTTTGAGCACTGAACTATGATTGGAAACCAGAGTACAAATCCATGATCAGCAGTGAAAAACCACTGAGTGACCTTTGAAGAAGTCACACTCTCAGTTTCCGAGGAAGACAAATCCTGCCAAGAAAGCCCCATTAAATGTGCACCTCAGGTTACCGGAAGTAACATACAACTTATACACAACAAATACACCTCCAAAAGGTGAACAGAGCCTTTGGCTCTCCCAACAAATTAAGATTATAATTCTTATCAATTCTCATCAGGTTTTCTTAGTCTTATCAGTCTCATTTCTGCACAATCATATATTTTTCACTCTGGCTGGCAGAGAAAAAGCACATTTTCAACCATCCTTTTCACTTTTCATACAGCAATGAAAATCTTCATGGCAGTTCTTGAAGCATGGTGTTGACATGCTCATTGTCTTGAAAGACAAGAATATTTATCTGTCTGTAACCCTAATGTGGCCTTTGGATCATCAAATAACCTCCCTTCACCCCACCTCTCTCCAGGTCTACAAAGGTCCTGAAGAGGCGCAAGATGTCCACTATGTCGGCACTCAAACAATTCCTGGCCTATGTGAATACCACTACCAAGTAGACCACACAGATGAATACATCATTGCAGGTAGGGAATACCACCCACCACCTGGGAAAGCTGGGACATTTCAAATTCAGCTGGCTACACACCCCTCATTACTGATGCAAGTATCGTGTCATTTTCTATGTCATGGGGCGTGTCACTGACATGTAAATGGGAAGGAGGAGATAGCAGCAGAACTTGATGGTCAGGGAAATACCTTTTGTGTATGCTAGCAAACCTGTGCTAGCAAACCATGCATACAAGGCGACGCATATTGGAATAAGAAGCTTTTCTTCATCCTTGGGAAGCAGCTTTGAGTTTCCATTAACAGACCCCAAATGTTTAGCCATGAAAACATATTATAGTACGATTCCAATATCTGTGGGATTACAGTAAACACAGTGTCACGTGCAACAAAATATGTAAAACACAAATAATCCGTAGGCCTCTTCTGTGTCTTCCATGGTGTCTTGCATCAGAAGTTCTTCATCTAGCTGGGATTGACTATTGTCCAGTTTCAAATATTCATGTGAAGTCTAGGAACATATCCCACACTGATATAGAGGCTGGCTTGTTCCTTCTTACAGCAGGGTAGCGGGACTTTGGACTTTGTGGCTTAGGCATAGTACATTCCTATTGATCTTGCTGAGAGATAGACAGAGGGCAGCAGCCATTCACTCTTCTCCCAAGTCCCTGCAGTATGTTAACATCCACCTTGAAATGCAGAAACCAGAATCCTAGACACAGTACTCTAAATGTGTCCTTGTGGTTTTGAAGAACACTTTGAAAATGCTCTGATTTAGGAAGCCAAAGAGAAAACTGATTAAAGTGTCCAGTAGGGAGGGTTTAGTATGGCTTCCTATCCTCCAGTATGACTATAAAAGCCAGGAAAAAAATATACAAAATATTAACTGAGGCAAAACGGTTCAATCAGCATTATTATTCAGGTCAAGCAACTTAGCTTTGCTTTTGACATAGGATTTGCATTGCTCACACGTCCAATTCCATCTGCAAGAGAATATTATATTCAGCCCAACTTCTGCTCGTGAAAATGGGTGATACTACTGATACCCTTTCCAACCTCTCTCCAAGCTATCCAAGTTATGAAAACAAAATCTAAAGGCTCAGCTCTGAGTTCTGATTGTCAAGAGGACAATCCTAATTGTTTCTCCTCCTCTAAGCTCACAGCAGCTTCCCTCTACTCCTTTTTTCACCTCCAACAGGGGAGCTGGACGGTGACACAGTCTGGCTCAGTGTCTGCGCTTTCCTCAAACGATGGTCCAGGGTAACCCCTGAGCAGAGGCGAGGCTTTACCTCAGAGTACAGCAAGGGCTGCTCTTGCTCGGTAAGTATCTGGCCACCAGGAGGGGATGATAGATCTCAAGGTTGCAGGAACATCACTTAGATTTTAAAGATCTGACACTTTCCAGATTTTGAAAGATGTGGAACCCACAAGAAGCATCATCAATTCACTGCAGATGTTGTGAAGCTTAAAAGCTAGTCTCATATAAATGAGTCAAGGGTACGTGCCATCTTGCCTGAAACAGGCCATAGTTAGACCAGTCTTGAAGACAGCTTCCTTTGACTCAGCAGTTTTGAATAACTACCGACCAATCTCAAATCTTCTGTTCTTGGGCAAGGTTCCGGAGCGGGTGGTCACTACTCAGCTCCTGAGATTCTTGGACGATACCGATTATCTGGACCCATTTCAGTCTGGCTTCAGGCCTGGTCACGGCACCGAGACGGCTTTGGTTGCCTTGGTGGATGATCTCCGCAGAGAGCTTGACAAGGGGAGTGTGTCCTTGTTAGTTCTCTTGGATATCTCAGAGGCTTTCGATACCATCGACCATGGTATCCTTCTGGGTCGATTCTTGGGGATGGGTCTTGGGAGCACTGCGCTCCAGTGGCTCCATTCCTTCCTTGAGGGCCGTACCCAGTCGGTGAAGCTGGGGGACACCTGCTCGGACCCCTGGCCATTGACCTGTGGGGTCCCACAAGGTTCCATTCTTTCCCCCATGCTATTCAATATCTACATGAAACCGCTGAGCGAGATCATCTGGAGTTTTGGAGTTCAGTGCCATCTCTACGCGGATGACACTCAACTCTATTACTCTTTTCCACCAGGTTTCAAGGAAGCCCCTCAGGTCCTGGACCAGTGCCTGATGGTTGTGATGGGCTGGATGAGGGCTAACAAGCTGAAGCTTAATCCTGACAAAACAGAGGTCCTCCTGGCTAGTCATGGGACTGATTGGGGCATAGGGTAGCTACCTGTGCTCGATAGGATCACACTCCCTCTGAAGACACAGGTCTGCAGCTTGGGGTCCTTCTGGACTCCGTTTTGACACTTGATGCTCAGGTGTCAGCGGTGGCTGGGAGAGCCATTGCAGTTAAAACTTGTGCAGCAGCTGCGCCCGTAGCTCGTGAAATCTGATCTGGCCATGGTGGTCCATGCCCTAGTCACCTCTAGATTGGATTACTACAATGCGCTCTACATAGGGTTGCCCTTGAAGACAGCCCGGAAACTACAGTTGGTCCACAGATCTGCAGCCAGACTACTCATGGGAGCTGGTTACAGAGAGCGGTCAAGCCTCCTGTTTAAACAGCTCTTGTGGCTTCCAATAAGTTTCCGTTCCCAATTCAAGGTGCAGGTCATCACCTATAAAGCCCTAAATGGTTCAGGACTTGCTTGTCTTCGCGATCGCATCTTCCCCTATGAACCAGTACGTACCTTGAGATCTTCTGGGGAGGTACTGCTCTCTCACCCCCCCACCGTCACATGCACGGTTGATGGGGACAAGGGAGAGAGCCTTCTCGGTGGTGGCCTCCCGGCTCTGGAACTCCCTCCCTAGGGAGATCAGACAGGCTCCCACCTTGTCCTCCTTTTGTAGTCAACTAAAAACCTGGATGTTCCGGTGCACTTTTGACTAAGCAGCTCACCAGTAACTTTCTTGCCCCTACTTGAAGTTCCGCACTTTACACCAGCCCACACTTTACACTGGCATACGTCTACCTCAACATGTGTTTATGACAGTATTTTATGCCCAGTTTACTGTATTGTTGCACTTTCCTGCGCTCCTGTAAAAATGTATTGTACTCATTGAATCTATACCTCAGCTATGTTTCTTTCAGCCATATGGTTTTTATATTGCTTTCAATTGGGCTGTTATTTGGTTAAGTGTTTTACATGTGTGTTTTAATTGTAATTTTGGGCATGTCCCTTGTAAGCCGCCCCGAGTCCCCTAGGGGAGATGGTTGGTGGGGTATAAAAATAGTTATTATTATTATTATCATCATTAGATTATTTTTTTTTTGTCGTGTCAGGAGCAACCGCTCCTGTTGTGAGAGAATTGGCCGTCTGCAAGGACGTTGCCCAGGGGACGCCCGGATGATTTCTGATGTTTTGTCATCCTTGTGGGAGGCTTCTCTCTTGTCCCCGCATGAGGAGCTGGAGCCGATAGAGGGAGCTCATCCGCCTCTCCCGGGATTCGAACCTGCGACCTGTCGGTCTTCAGTCCTGCCAGCACAGGGCTTTAACCCACTGCGCCACCGGGGGCTCCTATCATTAGATTATGATCAATAGGAATTGCTTTCCCAATAATGGAGCTACTCATCTCTTCATCCTGTTCTCCTCTTCTTTTCAAACTCAGTGCTGCCCTCCATTGCCTGTCACGGAATCAAGAAAATGAGGAAATTTGTTCCTTTGGGAGTCAAGATCTACCTTGCTCTCAAAATAGAGCCATTCATCACTCCCCTAATCCTGAACCCCTGCAGCAGCTCTGTGTGGGAGAATTAGTGCAGTTTGACACCACTTTAATTGCCATGGATCAATGCTGTGGAATCATGGGAGTTGGCAGTTTGGTGAGGCACTTGCACTGCTTGACCAAGAAAGCTAAAGGTCTTGGGAAATCTGTGTTGCTGTTTGTGTTGCTCTTCAAATTGCCGTGCTGTTTGTGTCACATACGATAATTGTAATAAAGATTACTCTGCTCTTATTTTAAACAGAGTCAGAAAAAAAGATTGACATCATTTTACATTTTTGTATTTTCCACCATACAAGTGGTTTAAAATATGAAACTTCTGGGGGGTAAAAGGTGACTCTAGGCTACTGATTGCTTATCTCAACATTAGGGAAGTTGAGACCCCAGTAGCTATGGGAAGGGCATGTTGCAGGATGCACTGCAGGAAAGGAGGCATCTTTTCTCTTCTGATTTCCTCAATGCTTCCATCTTCCTTTTTTCCACAGATTGTGTGGGGCCATTCAGAAGGCTCCATCAGCTCCAATGAGTGCGTGTGGACATATCAACGCTTGCCAACAAATTTGCGTGATTTCCAGTATAAACACATGGTCTGCCTGCCCCAGGTTGAAAAAGGTGGCATGTGCACCTGGAAATCCTTGGGTACCCTAGAGCCTGGATCCTTTCGTAAGAGGCAGCTGACGCAGTGACATCTTCATGAATTCTCACGAAGCAGGTGCTCCATGCCACTAACCCCTCCCCACTCTTCTCTCTGTGTTGACTCTTTTTAAATAAATGGTGGATCCAAACCCATTCACTTCTCCTTCATTGTGAAAATGTGCACTTTCTAAAGATGCCGCCACTTATCTAATGGCACTGGAAAATCTGGGATTCTGTTAAAACTGGGATGGTAGACCTTTTGTCTGAAATAATACTTTGTGGAGAGTTTTCTGCTAATGCCTTAGAATGAGGAGGAGGCACGGGGTGAGGCTTCCAATCTCCCCAAAGACCATATTTTTCATTTTGAAATTGATTGCAAACCTTTCCCATCATACCCTTTGTGTTCTTGTCTTTCTCCCTGTGTTCTGACTCTCCTGTCTCAAGGAGCAAGTAAGAACCATCCTGCAAATATTAATCAAGATCATGTGCAGAAACAAGGCTTTTTTGAGTGGCAGAAGCCTATTGCAAAATATGCACAGCAAGCATAAACAGCTGTACACCTCTTTAACACATGCAAAGTACTTTTCTGCTTACTGTTAACCAACTGTAATCTCTCACACACAAACTGTCTTATCTTGACAGTTTCAGAGAAAATGATTGATATCATTGAGACGGGCATTGAGATGGGCAAAATAGGAAACCTCTGGAGGACTAGAAGGTCACCCTAGGCCACTGGTTGCTTATCTCCACATTAGGTAAGTTAGACAACAGTAGCTATAGGAATGGCATGTTGCTGGATGAATTTCAGGAAAGTGGACATCTTTCTCTTCTGCTCTCAATACTTCCGTCTTCCTTTCTTGAACAGATTGTGGGCCGCTCCACCACCTCTTGCAATGAGTGCCACTGGATGGAAATGTATAGTTCCAAGAATCGGAATGATTTCCAAGAAAAATATATGGCCTGCCCGCCCCAGATGGAAAAAAATGGCACACGCCACTGGCAATCCTTGGACACAAAAGGATTCAGGTCCTTTCGTAAAAGGCGACTGATTTAGTGACACTTCCATAGATTCTCATGGAGCTAGAGTTTCATACTGCGAACCCCCTGCCCCACTCTTCTGTCTGTGTTGTCTCTTATTAAATAAATGCCAGTTCCAAACCCATTCACTTGTTCTTCATTGTGAAAATGTGTGCTTTCTAAAGATGCCTCCATTTGTCTAATGGAAAATCTGGAAATCTGTTAAGACTGGGTTGCTAGACCTTTTCTCTGGAAGAAAACCATGCTATGTTGTGGAAAGGTTTCTGCAAATGGCTTAAAGTGGGTAGGAGGCAAAGGGCGAGGCTTCCAATAGCCCAGCTGACCATATTTTTCATCATAACTTCTATTCTTATCATTCCTTCTGTGTGTTGAATACCCCATCTCATGGACAAAATAAACTACTGCCCAGAAACTGCCACCATATCTTAATGGAGCTCACAAGAAGGAACAGGACTTTTATTCCTGGCCAAGTATATAACACCCAAAGAAATGATTAAAAGCAGAACATCCCTTTAATATGTGCAAAACACTCTTGTGTCCACTGCCAAGTAAGTGTAATCTCTCACACATCCATTTAAGGTGGAATCAGAGTGATATAATTGTGCAAAATTGTTTGGGAGTTTTGTGAGTACAAAGTTTGTATATTCAATCCGGAGGAAACGGGACATGCCACTGATTCAATTTATCAATTTCCAGATCCCAAGGAAAGCTTGCACTTCATTTTAAAGCACAGATCATTGGTAGAGCAGAGAAGACCAAGTACCAATAGTCAGGGACAAAGGGTACAATTAACATCATGGAGTTCCGGGAAAGCAAATCAACCACAATTTATTTCTGGGAAGGAATGAGGCAGAAACCTGGATGGGAGCTTTTTCCAGGTGTGGTAGCTCTATCTGCCACCTTGTGGCATGCCCTGTTAAATTTAGCTAGACACAACTTCGAAGTCAGTCTTCCAACAAGCACAAGTTTCATTTTTCTTCCATTGAGGTTCCAATTTTCTCCCTAAATTCTTCTGGAAATTGTGACACCTGCTGCTGCCCTTTCCCTTTCCTCCAGCATCCTGCCTGCATCTCTATTGCTTGAGTCGGATTAATCAGTCAGCACACACCCCATCCTGGCATGGCTTGACTCTGGACTTGAAACCACAAGCTGGGGCTATTCCGCCCCTTTGGCAGTCAGGACAGGAAAGGTACGGGGAGACAAAGGGGAAGTGGGGTAATATTTAAGTACAAGCCAAAAGGGCTGGGAAACGCAGTGTGAAGTGGCAGAGGACACCTAAAGAGACTCGCAGAGATCAAGGTGAGATGGGAGCTCTAACTCCTTTTTTTGCAGGCCTCTGAGCCTTATCCCAATCCTGCCTCCTATCCTGTAGGCCAGCGGTTCCCAGCCTTTGGTCCTCCAGGTGTTTTGGACTTCAACTACTAGAAATCCCAGCCAGCTTACCAACTGTTAGGAACTGTGGGAGCTGAAGTCCAAAACAACCTGGGAATCACTGCTATAGGGAACTCACTGTAACCCCTAAACTGATCCCCTCTATTTAGATTGCCAATCCAGGGAAATATCCTCAGGAGCTCCACCAAACTCTTGCCTCCTTGTTGCATTTCCCTTGTCTTGGTCTTCTTATTCACTCCTCTCTTTTGCATTGCAAATTCTGGTATAGCTCTGAGTTCAGAAGGTGCACCCTCTCATATTGCAGTCCACTCATCTCTATATCCTATTCTCCTCTACTTCTCAAACTCAGTCCTGCCCTCCATTGCCTGCCACAGAATCAGGAAAATACAGTGATTTGTTCCTTTGGGAGTCAAGATCTACCTTGCTCTTGGCTGCTCAAAATAGAGCCATTCATCACTCCCCTAATCCTGCACCCCTGCAGCAGTTCTGTGCAGGGTGTTTCCCCACCCCTTCCTTCCAACTTCCCTCTCCTGAAATAACACTACCTTCTCCACTCCCCCAGTCACACCACTGAGTCACATTCCTCCTCGTTTTTTCAGCAAAAAAACAGGACGAAAGAAAGAGGATGGACCTGGCTAAAGCAAGTAAATTCCTGGTTGCCAGCTTACTCCTTTTCACTCTGGTTGCAAGATACCACTGAGGCCTGCAAATGTGCCTCCGAGCACCCCCACGAAGCATTCTGCTCCTATGATGTCGGTGAGTCTGTCTGCAGTCTTTTACTTCTCCTTCCATGGAAACTTGCCTTCTGCTATGAAACCTGGTGCTCCCCGTTCTCTTGATTCTTTTTTCTGTATTCTCAAATGCTCTCACGCTCCATGCTCAGTCTGCAAACAGCCACTTCTTTGACTGTCTTATGGTAAGCAGGTTGCAGACACATACAAAAGGACTCTATAGGTATGCGATAGGCCTGGGTAACAACGGAAAAATTTGTTTCTAAAATCGATTTGTATTTGGGGGGTTTTTTTGTTTCGATATTTAAAATAATTACAAAATTTTCCTTTTAAAAAGTTCGATATTTACGAAATTTCGTAAATGGTAAAAAATTAACGAATCGATTTCCGAAACAATAACGAATCGATTCGTTAATGGCGGACGCGACCGCGAAATACGCTAAAAAACCTCCAAAACCTTCTGAAGCTTCCCTCTCCCTCGGTTGTTGACTGTTGGTGTGATATTATAATTTTTTTTCACTAATTAAACCATAAAACTGGCCCAGACATGCGGAAATAATAACGAAACGACCTCAAAACAATAACGAAACGAATACAATATCGAAATACGAAGCATTTACAAAACGTTTTTGAAAATTCGTTTTTTTAATAATTGCTCCAGAATGGTTCGTTATCGTTTTGTAATTGAAAAAAATTAACGAATTATTAACGAATTACGAATTAACGAAACGAAACCGCCCAGCCCTAGTATGCGAAGCCATGAAACTGGCATCTTCTGCACCTGAGGGCTGCTCCACTTAGTGGGAAGAGTTAGTAGCAGAATCATAGAGTTGGATAGGACCACAAGTGACATCTAATCCCACAGGAACCCACAACTACAACATCCCTAAAAGATGTCCATCCAATGCCTGGTTAGAAATTTCAAACATGGCAATCCCCCCCCCCCCCCCCCCCCCCACCCCAGGAGAGTATATGCCATTGTTGGAATGCGGAATTTCTTTTTTAGTAATTTAAATCCACTGTCTTAGGGCCCTTCCACACAGCACAAAAGAAACAGAAGAGAACAGGTTAAAGAGGGCAAGTGTCTAGATGACGTTGCCAGTAAATCTGCACTGAATTGGAACAATGCAGCCAAAACACAGGCTAAAGAACTCCTCTTTTATCCTGGGTCTGGTTGCAAACTGCACATTTTTATATGACTGTCTATCCCTACAGTCAAGCAAAATGTGATATCCCCCCCCCCCCCATGGAGACGGCAGATCCCAAAACATTTCATAAAAGTATTGTCGAAAGCTTTCATGGCTGGAATCACTGGGTTGCTGTGAGTGTTCCAGGCTGTATGGCCATATTCCAGAAGCATTCTCTCCTGATGTTTCACCCACATCTATGGCAGGCATCCTCAGAGGTTGTGAGGTATGTTGGAAACTAGGCAAATGAGGTTTATATATCTGTGGAATGTCCAGGGTGGGAGAAAGAACTCTTGTCTTTTGGAGACAAGTGTGAATGTTGCAATTAGCCACCTTGATTAGCATTGCAGGTTCAACTTCCTGCCTGAGGGGAGCCTTTGTTGGGGGGGATGGTGTTATCTTGCCCTGATTGTTTCTTGTTTTGAATTCCCAAATTTTTGACTGCCAACAAGATGGAGGGGACCCTCTTAGAAAGAAGGTGAATGTACCATGAGATTAAAACCACCAAGGTAAGCATTTTCTCCTGTTATCAAAGTTCTCCTGTTAAATCTCTGATCAGCCATGAAAAGTCACTGGCTGACCTTTGAGGAAGTCACACTCTCTCGGTTTCTGAAGAAGACAAATTCTGCAAAGAAATACCCCATCAAATGTGCTTCTCAGGGTTACCGAAAGTAAAAAAAATGACTTAACATAACACAACAAATATACCTCTAAAAGGTGAACAGAACCTTTGGTTCTCCCAACTAGATAATAATAATAATAATAATAATAATAATAATAATAATAATAATAATAACACTTTATTTGTACCCCGCCATCATCTCCCCAAGGGACTCGGTGCGGCTTACATGAGGCCGAGGCCAAGTACAACAATACAAGCAAAACAACAACAGTACAAGCAATTAAAATAAAAACATAGACAATAAAATATACAACATTATCAATAAGACAACACACAATTAAAAACAGTGGGAAGGCCAAATGTAAAGTTAAAATGGAAATAATGCTGGGACATGGACGAAAGGTGATAGTGGCGTTTGTGGAAGGGCATACGAGCAGATCTAAAAAGTGTAAAGTGCTTTGGAGGACAAAGTGCTATGGGATCATTATTCTGGGAAGGCACACTGGAACAACCACGTCTTCAAGCTCCTCCTAAAGACTGCCAAGGTTGGGGCCTGTCTGATGTCTTTAGGGAGTGAGTTCCAGAGTCGAGGGCCACCACCGAAAAGGCCCTCTCTCTCATCCCCACCAACCGCGCCTGCGATGCTGGTGGGATCGAGAGCAGGGCCTCCCCGGATGATCAAAGGGATCGCGTGGGTTTGTATACAGAGATGCGGTCACGCAGGTAGGCGGGTCCCAAACCGTTCAGGGCTTTGTAGGTAAGAACCTGCACCTTGAATTGGGTCCGGTAAATGAATGGCAGCCAGTGGAGCTCCTTGAACAGGAGGGTTGACCGCTCCCTGTAAGGCACCCCAGTTAACAACCTGGCTGCCGCCCGTTGGATCATCTGAAATTTCCGGACCATTTTCAAGGGCAGCCCCACATAGAGTGCATTGCAGTAATCCAGTCTAGAGGTGACTAAGGCACGGACCACTTTGGCCAGTTCACATTATAATTCTTATCAATTCTCATCAGGTTGCTGTATGTTTTTCAGGCTGTATGGCCATGTTCTAGAAACATTCTCTCCTGATGTTTTGCCTGCATCTATGGCAGGCATCCTTAGAGTTTGTAAGATCTGTTGGAAACTAAGAAAATGGGATTTATATATCTGTGGAATGTCCAGGGTGGGAGAAAGAACTCTTGTCTGTTGGAGCTAGGTGTGAATGTTTCAATTAGCCACCTTGAGTAGCATTTAATGGCCTAGCAGTTTTCAATGTGTGACTTCTTACTGCCTGGGGGAATCCTTTGCTGAGAGGTGATTAGCTGTCCCTGACTGTCTCTTGTCTGGAGTCCCCGTTTTTACTGTTATGATTTTAGAGTTTATAAATACTGGTTGCCAGATTTTGTTCATTTTCATAGTTTCTCGCTTTCTGTTAAAATTGTCCACATGGTTGTGGATTTCAATGGCTTCTCTGACATGAGGTTGTTTGAGTGGTCCAGGATTTCTATGTTCTCAAATAATATGCTGTATTCAGGTTGGTTCATCAAGTGCTCTGCTATGGCTGACTTCTCTGGTTGAGTTAGCCTGAAGTGCCTTTCATGTTTCTTGATTCATGTCTGGACAATGCTGTGTTTGTGGTCCCTATGTAGACTTCTCCACATCTGCATGGTATACAGTAGACTCCTCCAGAGGTGAGGGGATCCCTCTTGCCTTTTGTTGAACATAGCTCTGATGTCATGACAAATTACAAATGACAAACTAAAGTGGCATCAGAGTGCTATCATTCTGCAGGATGGATATTTTTTTGTGAGAATAGAAAATTTGTATCTTCAATCCAGTGTATGTGGGGGAGTGGGAGTATGTCAATTTCTGTATTTTTGCATTTTATTAAAAACACTGGTAGAACAGAGAAGACTTTAAGGTGAATCTGAGCACCAAAAATCAGGGATAAAGGATAAAATTAACATCATGGAGATCTTGTAAAACAAACCAACCATAATCTATTTCTGGGAAGGGGTTAAGCAGAAACATGAATGGAAGTGTTCTCCAGATGTGGCTAGCTCTATGATGCCACCTTGTGGCATGCCCTGTTAAATCTAGATGGAGCCTTCTTCAAAGTCCATCTCCTCAACAAGCACAAGTATTACTTTTCTTCCACTGAGGAATTTGTAATTTCCTCTAAATCCTTTTGCGAATGGTGAAACCTACTGCTGCTGGTCCCACCCCACAACTGTCCTTTGCCTCCTCTCCAGCATCCTGACACCATCTCTATCACTTAAGTCGTATTAATCAGTCAGCACACACCCCATCCTGGCATGAGTTGACTCTGGACTTGAAACCACAGGCTGGGGCTGTCCCGCCCCTTTGGCAGTCTGGACAGGAAAAGCAGGGGGAGACAAGGGGGAAGCAGGGTGATATTTAAGTACGAGCCAGAAGGGCTGGGAGACGCAGTCTGAAGTGGCAGAAGACGCTGAAAGAGACTGACAGAGATCAAGGTAAGATGAACTCTTCTTTTGCAGCACTCCGAGCCTTCCCCTCCTACTTTATAGGGAACCCACTATAACCCCTAAACTGGTCCCCTCCCTTTAGATTGCAACTCTTTTTACCAGGAAACATCCCAAGGATCTCTACGAATCTCTTGTCTCCTTGTTGTGCCTCCCTGACCTTGCTCTTTTTATTCCTCCTCCTTTTGCATTGCCACAGACGCACCTCACATTGGAAATTCTGGTTTAGTTTTGTCATTTTGCTTCCCTTGGCTCCCTTGCCTCCTGCTAAAGCTTCTCATATCCAACTCACTATCCTAGTGGGATTGAGGGCATCCTAAAGAAACAGAAAGTCGCTATGAAGTTCAGACTCCAGAAGGGACACCCGCTCATATTGCAATCTACTCCTCTCTTCATCCTGTTTCCTTCTTTTCAAACTCAGTCCAGCCCTCCATTGCCTATCACAGAACCAGGACACAGAGGAGCTTTGTTCCTCTGGGAGTGCAGATCTCCTTTGCTCCCTGTTACTCAAAATATAGCCATCAATTGATCTCCTCATCCTGTACCTATGTGGGCAGCCCTGTGTGGGATGTTTCCACATCCCTTTCTTCCAATTCCCTCTTCTGAAATAACTCTACTTTCTCCACTCTCCAAGTCAAGCTACTGACTCACATTCTTCCTCATTCTCTTAGTAAAAAGAAAAAAGGAAAATGAACATGGCTAAAGTAAACGGATTCCTGGCTGCCAGCTTCCTCCTCCTCGCTCTGCTAGGAGATACCACTGAGGCCTGCTCCTGCGCCCCCCGGCACCCCCAGTCGGCATTCTGCTCCGCTGATATTGGTGAGTCTCCGGAACCCAGTAGCATCAAAGAACTTTCTCTCTGCAGTCTCTCACCTCTCCCTCCATGGAAACTTGCCTTCTGCTATGAAACCTGATGCTCCCCATTCTCTGGATTCTTTTTCTGTATCCTCAAATACAGTGCATGCTCTTATGCTCCATGCTCAGTCTGTAAACAGCCACTTGCTTGGTTACCTTGTGGTACATAGTTTGCAAGCCAGATACAGAAGGGCTGTATAGATGTGCATCTGTGGTATGAAGAGGGGAAAGAACTAGGTGTTTTATGACTATGGGGCAAATGAAAGGCAGGAGAAATTAAAACCAAGAGGGACTGTTTACAAGAAAGGAGATTTTGGCAAAACATTTGGAATAATTTATTGGAGGTACAACTGTAGCAAAGTAAAAGAGCTTTCCCAGTAAGGTGGCAGACTTTCCAGGTTTTCAAACAGAGGCCACATCTCAGGTTGCTTTACTGGAACATTTCCTCCATCAATAGGAAGTTAGGTACCTTCCAACTCACGAATTCTAGGATCTGGGTGAGCATCCAATTTTTTTTTAAGATGGATATTTCTGGGGGCCTGTCCATACCCACCCCAGAAAGCGCATGCTTTCTGGGATGGGTTGTCGACACATTCTCTCGGGATTAGCCCGAGAGAATGTGTGGAGGGTTTTCCTGTTTTGTAGCGAATTAATGCGGGAATGTCCTAAACATTGTCTGGACAGCCCATCTTTATTGCAGGAGTTCCCTCAATAAAGGCCCTGTCGGGAGGGGCCCACACAGTCTATGAGCTGCATGCGGTCCCTTCATCCATTTTATATCAGCAAAATGTGAATTAACTATTCAAACTTAAACAAGAGTTGCAACTTGTTGGGTTTTTTTGAAGTCATTATAAAAGCTGGGTTGTTGTAGGTTTTTTCGGGCTATATGGCCATGTTCTAGAGGCATTATCTCCTGATGTTTCGCCTGCATCTACGGCAAGCATCCTCAGAGGTAGTGAGGTCATTATAAAAGCTTTACTCAGATCACTTCTTAAGTAACAATGCCTACAGCCAGAGAAATATCTATCATTTCAGTGTGCCCATTGCAATTGAAATATAAGTTTCCAGTGCTTTCCATGGCAGGACTCTTGTGTCTTTGTTATCTGCCTGAGTACAGAGAAAGATAAAAGTTGATTACTTTCCTCTATAACTTTATCACCATGCTGGAAAAAAGGTTTTCTTGCTGAATTTCTGCAAGTCTGGCATCCAGACAAAAAAAGAGGCAGTTGGCAGTACAAATGGAAACTTGCTCATGTCTTATGGTATGCTGAGGTTTTATTCACTCTGGTCATTTGTGGAAATATTTCAATTCCTGAAACATTCCCTGAAAAGTGCTTTAAAATCAGTTTTGCGCCAGGAAAAAAAAGCTTTTTCAATCACGTCCAGGACTGCCCTCTGATAGACTATATGATATATAGCTATTTTCCTTTTGTTGTAGCCCTCAATACAGCTAAACCTTGCATTCTGAAAGTTTCCAAAGTCCAATAGTTGAAAAGGTAACTAAATGGAATCTAGGCAAAACAGACACTGTTGATTCGCACATTTGATTCTGATTAGCCAAAATTGTCAACGCTAGTTCGATTTCAGATTCATACTTATTTTTTGGCCCTCTTTTATTTTATTATTTTGAAGCTCTGGTGGTACAATGGGTTAAACCCTCGTGCCAGCTGAACTGGTTGACTGAAAGGTTGGCGGTTCGAATCTTGGGAGCAGGGAAAGTTCCTGTCTGTCAAGCTCTAGCTTCCCATGCAGAGACATGAGATAAGCCTCCCACAGGATGGTAAAACATCAATCATCCAGGCATCGTCTGGGCAATGTCCTTGCAGATGGCCAATTCTCTCACACCAGAAGTGACTTGCAGTTTCTCAAGTCACTGCTGACAAGATAAAAATAATTGTTCAAAAATGTCAAATTCTTAAAAATGTAAGTCTTCTTTCATTGAGAGGCAGTGCCTTAGAGAATATGATATTGCTTCACACTAAAATAAACAATAGCTTCAATCTTTAGAAGCCCTTACCACCGTGGTTTTCAACCTGTGGGTCCCCAGGTGTTTTGGCCTTCAGCTCCCAGAAATCCCAACAGCTGGTAAACTGGCTGGGATTTCTGGGAGTTGCAGGTCAAAACACCCGGGGACCCACAGGTTGAGATCTACAGGATAGATGTGCTCTCAGTTAGCTTTAAAGCTTTCACTGCAGTGGCACACAGATGCAAGTTGTTATTTGAAGAACTCTTATATACAAACACCAAAGAGGAGACACTCTGTGGTAGGTAGCTAAAAAGTCCTATCTCACATTCTGTGAAGTCATGGCAGGTTTCAAAATCTGGCCTCACAGACTAGGCCACCTCTTAACCCAAACTAGAAAGAGAGAATGTCGTTTTACAAGATATCTTGTGGGAGCAGACATGGCGACATAACTTTAAGCTTCAGAACATAGCATACAGGGCAAGAATTTTTTCCAACATCATAGAAACTCTACAGATCAGTTAACAATGTACAGAAAGGGTAGGAGAGCTGGAAAAACCACAAAAATAAAGTTGACAACCTCCTCCCAACATCTTTCTACAGTGCTCAGGGCCAAATTTGTGGCTGTCAACAAGATGGATGGGAACTTCTCAGAAAGAAGGTGGATGTACCATGAGATCAAAACCACCAAGGTAAGCATTTTCTCCTGTTAATGCAGTTTTCTAAAGCACCAATTGATAATAGAAGACATGAAATGGCATGAATATCAATCGATGTATTCTTTTTTAAAATGGCTACACATCTATCAAGCCAGCCAGCATGGTGAAGTGGTTTGAGCATTGAACTATGATTGGAAACCAGGGTTCAAAACCCCGATCAGCCATGAAAAACCACTGAGTGACTTTTGAGGAAGTCACACTCTCATGGTTTTCTGAGGACATCAAATCCTGCAAGAAAACCCCCATTAAATGTGCTTCTCAGGGTTACCTAAAGTTATAATATATAATTCTCATCAATTCTCATCAGGTTTTTTTAGTCAGATACTTATTTCTGCACAAACAGAGAAAGAGGACATTTTCAACCATCTTTTTCACTTTTCACACAACAATGAAAATTTCATGGCAGTTCTTGAAGCATGGTGATTTATCTGTCTGTAACCCTAATGTAGCCTTTGGATTATCAAATAACCTCCCTTCACCCTACCTCTCTCCAGGTCTACAAAGGTCCCAAGGAGATGCAAGATGTCCGCTATGTCCACACTCCATCCATTGATGGTGCATGTGGTTACTTCCACAGTGGACCTCTCAAAGAAGAATATCTCATTACAGGTAAGAAATATCAACCGCAATCTGGGACATTTCAAATTCATATGGCTAGACACCCCTCATAACTCATGCAAGTGTTGTGTCATTCGCCATGTTATGGGACGTGTCACTGAGCTGTAAATGGGAGGGGGGATATCAGCAGAACTTGATGGTCAGTGAAATACCCTTTGTTTATGCTTAGACACTGTGCTAGCAGACATGCATACAAGGGCAAATCATATTGGAATAAGAAGCCTTTCTCCAACCTTGGGAAACTGCTTTGAGTTTTCCTTAACAGGCCACAAATGATTAGCCATGAAAACATATAGTAAAAAACTGATTAAAGTGTCCAGTAGAGAAGGTTTAGTATAGCTTCCTATCCTCAATTGTGACTATCAAAACCAGGGGAAAAATATACAAAACATTAACTGAGACAAAACGGTTCAATCAGCATTATTATTCAGGTCAAGGAACTTAGCTCTGCTTTTGGGGTGGGATTTGCATTACTCAGGCAAAGAAGTATAAAGAACATGGCCATACAGCCCGAAAAACCTGCAACAACCAAGTATAAATCTATTTGCAAGGGCAGATTATGTTCAACCCAACTTCTTCTCATGAAAATGGGTGATACCTTTTCCAGCCTATCTAATTTATGAAAATAAAATATGAAGCTATGATCAACCAGGCTTGTCGAGAAGAAGACAATCTTAAATTTTTATCCTCCTCCAAGTTCACAGCAGCTTCCCTCTTACTCCCCTTTTCTCCTCCAACAGGGAGACTGGACGGCGACAAAGTCTTCATCAGAATCTGTGATTTCATCAGACCATGGGCTGAGATAACTCTTGCACAGAGGCGAGGCTTTACCTCAGAATACAGCAAGGGCTGCTCTTGCTCAGTAAGTATCTGGCCACTAGGAAGGGTTGATAGGTCTCAAGGTTGCAGCGAGATCACTCAGATTTCAAGAAGTTGAAAACAAGACAATAAAAGAGATCAGTTCCTTATCACAATAGCTTTGTTTTGCATTTAGCAATGTGCTTTGTGGCTACAGACTCCCTTTCAGGAGAGTCAGTAGGAAGATGGACAAGAAACATTTATGTCAATCTACAGATGTGGGTATGGGAGGGACGAAAAAATGAGCTCTCTCAAATATTAATTCTGCTCCCAAAAATGAAATTTCATTTCTAAGGAAAACCAAATGCTAGGTAAGGAGCTTTTGTGGATTTGCTTGCAAAGCTGCAGTTGTCACAGTCTGCAATAAACAGAAGAGAAAAGCAGGGGAGGTGTAGCCAGTCATACGTGGAATCACGGGGTACATATTCTGTGCATTACTGTAGATGAGCAAATAACTAAAAGCACAGATACAAGGTAAAAATTCATATCTTATGGGACAGCCTAATATAAAAGCAAAGAAGTACAGTTTCTGAGAAAATAATTGACACCACTGGGATTGGCAAGCAGTGCAAAACAGAATAATTCTGGAGGGCTAGAAAGTGACTCTAGGCCACTGGTTGCTTATTTCCACGTTAAGGAAGTTGAAACCACAGTAGCTATGGGAAGGGTGAGTTACAGGATACATTGAAGGAATGGGGAAATATTTTCTCTTCTTCTCTCAATGCTTCCATCTTCCTTTCTTCAACAGATTGTGAGCTGCCATTCAGAATGCTCCATTACCTCTGATAATCAGTGTCTGTGGACGGATTTACTCAGATCCCAGAATCAGAGTTATTTCCAAGACAAACACTTGGCCTGCCTGCCCCGGATTGAAAAAAATGGCATGTGTACTTGGAAATCCCTGGGCACCCAAAGGTCTGGATCCTTTCGTAAGAGGCGGCTGACAGTAATATCTTCATGAACTCTCATGGAGCTAGTGCTCCATGCCACTAACCCCTCCCTGACTCTTCTCTCTGTGTTGATTGTTATTAAATAAATGGTGGTTCCAAACCCATTCACTTATCCTTCGTTGTGAAAATATGCATTCTCAAAATATGCAGCATTTTTTTGTCGAAACTGGAAAATGTGGAATTCTGTTAAGACTGGGTTGGTAGACTTTTTATCTGGAAGAAAACCATGGTACTTTGTGGAGAGTTTTCTGCTAATGCCTTAGAATGAGGAGGAGGAGGCACAGGGTGAGGCTTCCAATCTCCCAGAAGACCAGGTTTTTCATTTCGAAATTGACTGCAAACCTTTCCCATCATACTCTTTTGTGTTCTTGTCTTTTCCCCTATGTTCTGACTGTCCTATCTCAAGAAGCAAGTAAGCCATTGTTCAGAACCTGTCTGCAATGCTTAATCCAGATCATGTGCAGATACAAGGCTTTTGTTGAGTCCCCATTTATCCTTGCAAACAAACTAGTAAAATGTGGGTTAGACAATACTACTGTTAGTATTGTATTTGTAATTGTTAAGTGACCAAACCCAAAGGGAGCTCGCCAATAGATAATCTTCTTCTTGAAATGACATGACTAGTAGGGTGCGACAGGTTTCTGTCCTAGGCCCAGTGCTGGTCAATATCTTTATTAATAAAACAGGGCCCCTTCCAGACAGGACCCCAAAAACGGACACAGTCAGACTTTTACTTTAGGTGTCCAAATGATGCCTTAGGTGAAAGAGGATTAATTTGGGACAAAGCAGGTAAACCCTGCTTTGTCCTGAATTGTTTAGATATCCCATTAGACCCAGGCCTTCCTGATGCTCACAGCCCAATTAGCTTCTTCAGGCTCCATGAGCCCGGAGAAGTGGGCACCCACTCTCTCCACAAACTTCCCCCAAAAAAAGCCCTTAAAAAAGAAGAAACTTACATGGCACTATGAGGCCTCTCCAGCAGGCCTCCCGGCATGTTGAAATTATGTACCAGGAAATGGGGAGGGGGCACCTACTGACACATCATTTCCATGTGCCAGGAGGCCTGCTGAAGAGGCCTCATGTTGCCTGGCAAGTTTCTTCTTAGGGCTTGTGGGGGGGGGGGGGTTCAGTGGCCCTATGCCAGTGTGGAAGTTATCATCTTGGCATGGGAACCACCAACCGGGAAAGCCTGGTTGTTTTGGGCAGAGCATGTGGACTTAAACCCGCTCCAATGTAGGTTTAAGCCCTGCCTGGAAGTGCCCTTACATCAGTGGTTCTCAACCTGTGGGTCCCCAGATATTCTGGCCTTCAACTCCCAGAAATCCTAAACTAGCTGGGATTTCTGGGAGTTGTAGGCCAAAACACCAGGACACCCACAGTTGACAACCACTGCCTTAAACAAAGGTTTGGAGGATGTGTTGATCAAGTTTGCAGATGACATCGAATTGGGATAGCTAATACTGCAGAAGACAAGATCAGAATTCCAAATGACCTTAACAGATAAGAGAGCTGAGCCAAAACTAATGGAATGAATTTCAACCAGGAAAAGTGTAGGATACTTCACTTAGGCAGAAAACAATGGAATGCACAGATACAGGATGGATGACGCCTAACTCAACAACAGATATGTGGAAAAGATCTTGGAGTCTTAATAGGCAACAAGCTGAACATTAGCCAACAGTGTGATGCAGTAGCTAAAAAGCAAATGGGATTTTGGGCTGTATCAAAAGGAGTATACTGCCTAGATTGAGGAAAGTCATGGTGCCTCTCTATTCTGCTTTGATTAAACCTCACCTGGAATTACAGTTCTGTGTCCAATACTAGGCACCAGTTTAAAAGAGATATTGACAAGCTGGAAGGTGTCCAGAGGAGGGCAACTAAAATGATTAAAGGGCTGGAGTTGATTAAAGGACTGGATATGTTTAGCCTGAAAAAGAGAAGGTTGAGAAGAGACATGATAGCCATGTATAAATATGAGAAAGGATGCCATAAGGAAAAGGGAGCAGACTTGTTTCCTGCTGCCCTGGAAACTAGGACTCAGAGCAGTGGGTTCAGATTATAGGAAAGGAGATTCCACATGAACATTAGGAAGAACTTCCTGACCATAAAAGCTGTTCAACAATAGAACTCTCTGCCTCAGAATGTGGAGTCTCCTTCTTTGGAGGCTTTTAAACAGAGGCTGGATAGCAATCTGTAGGGGGTGTACTCTTCTGCATGACAGGGATTGGACTAGATGGCCTACATGGTCTCTTCCAACTCTATTATTCTATGATTCTCAAAAAGTGGGTACATGTATCAGTTCATTGCAGGTGAAGTAACAAAGGTTAGTGGTACCCTTAAAGACTGATAGATTAAGCATCCACAAATAATAATTCTAGAAAAAAATCCACTAGCTTTAAAAAATATCATGGCACTCTTTCTTGTCTTAAAAATTTGTACTTCAATGTTGAGTTTCAAGTGTCATCCTTAAGTTGATTCCCAGTCCCTTCTGCAAAACATGAAATGCTTTCATCCCTACCATCTATTAATCATTAATTCTCAGCTACTTCTGGCTTCCAATTGTTCAAAGATAACTCTGCATGACAAAAAAACCCCATATTATTTGCTCCATCCCTCCTCCATTCCAGATTGTACATTAGGACAGAATAACCCTGCCAAAAGGAACTCTATATAGCCTGGAGAGGAGGAAGCATTCTCTGGAACAGGTTCTCAAACTATTTTAAAAAGGACACAAACCGTGTTCGATTTGGCTCGCTCGGATCCGAACGCCACACGCTCTCTAGTTCCCTCTTTGTTCGCTTCATCGCTTTCAGCTCCTCAGTAAACCAAGGAGAAGGTTTAGCTCTGCTACTTGAGAGGAGACATTCTGGAGCAATCATGTCTGTTGCTCTAACCACCTCCCTATTCCAGAGAGTGACCAGAGCATCAGTAGGATCACCTACTGAGGTGGGGAAATTCCCCAAGAGCCGTCAGGAATCCATTCGGATCCATAAGCCTCCTGGGGCGGACCATCTTAATGGGTCCCCCACCTCTGCAGAGGTTAGGAGGTGCAGTAAGTCTAAAGCTGACCAGATGGTGGTCGGTCCATGGCAACGGAGAGATGGATAACTCCTCAACCCCGCCACCTTGCTCCCATCCTTGACAGAAAACCAAATCCAATGTGTGTCCAGCACTGTGGGTGGGGCCAGTTACTTGTTGGGACAGCCCCATGGTTGCCATGTAGACATGAAGTCCTGAGCCGCTCCCGATAGGGTGGCCTCGGCATGGACATTGAAGTCCCCCAGCACAAGCAGCCGTTGGGACTCCAACGCCAGGTCCGAGACCACCCCCGCTAGCTCATTCAGGGAGTCTGTAGTGCAGCGAGGTGGACGGTACACTAACAGAATCCCTAATCTGTCCCAGTCACCCACCCTCAGGTGGACGCATTCAAATTGTTGACTGCGGGATGGGGGCCCTGGTCAGAAGAATGGAATCTCTATAGACCACTGCAACTCCGCCTCCCCGCCCTCCAGATCTCGGTTGGTGCTGCACAGAGAAACCTGGTGGGCAAAGCTGGGTTAAATTTACACCTCCCGCTTCGTCCAACCAGGTCTCTGTGATGCACGCCAGATCTGCCCGTTCGTCCAGGATTAAATCCTGGATGAAAGTTGTTTTACCGTTGACAGATCTGGCGTTCAACAGCACCACTTTCAATTCGGTTACAACATTCCTGTATGAAGACATTACAAAACAAAGTTTCAGCATGTCTTTCATTCAAGCCTTTCCTCTTTCCTAAAAGGACTTTTATATTAACACATGAAAACTGATTTCTAACTATCTTTAAACTGACAAAGAGATCCTGACCACTTGGTCCTTTAAAAACTCTCTACTGTCACTAGCTTCCTGCTATCAGTCAACTATCTTAGCTACTCCTTAAATCAGGGGTCCTCCAACTAAGGCCTGGGGGCCAGATAAGGTCCTCCAAGGTCATTTACCCAGCCCTCGCTCAGGGTCAACCTAAGACTGAAACGACTTGAAATCACACAATAACAACAATCCTATCTCATCACCCAAAAGGAGGCACACACTTCTCTTTGAAATAATAAGTTTATACTTGTTAAAAAATTTCTTCAGTTTAATTATTGTATTGTTTTAAGTGATTTTTGCACTACCAATAAGATATGTGCAGTGTGTATAGGAATTCATTTATGTTTTTTACAAATTATAATCTGGCCCTCCAACAGTTTGAGAGACTGTGATCTGGCCCTCTGTTTAAAAAGTTTGTGGACCCCTGCCTTAGCTAATCCTTCAGCTAACTTCCTCTCCGACTCCAGCTAACTCACCAACTGATCCTTTTTAAACCAACATTCTTTTTTTCAGTGACAGTTGGCTCCGCCCCTTTCTGTTCTGCCTGGAGGCAATGTTGCTATGGCAACGCCTGGGCCTCGGACTACCCATCAGCTGACAATAATAAACATATCTAAAACTTAGACTTTAATTAGGCATTTCATTACACAAGGCAATTGGCTTCAGATGTTAGCCTGAATAATCTATTATCTTTGATCTGTTAGGAAAACAGAGAATATGCCAATGCATTAATATAGCAGTTCTTCAGAAGTGTTTTTCTGTGCCCAAAAATGTATCTACTCTGCGATAAAATTTGTTTTATATTATGCACTCAAGAGACAAAATGAAGTAGACTATGGTAAAAATAACATGTTTGGTTTACTCACGACCGTCATGTGTTCAACATACACAGGAACACAACTTATCAGTCAGTTACAGATATGTTTGAGATAATTTCTGTGCCATCCAGTTAGAACATCTCTCTTAGAACAAACAGCAGGCAGGTGTTTGCAAGTCTGCGATCTTAATAGTCCTAAAATCTAACGAAGTATGATGGAGTCTGTGCTCTACTCATCTCAGAGTGGATCATGTGGTCTGTAGCCCCTCCCACAACTTCCCAGGAAAAATATAGAGCAAGGAAAGAAAGCTGCATATCAGAACACACATACAATAAGTAAGCAACAGGGTTATACATAAACAAATTGCTAGAGGAAGCTTGAAAAAAGTTGTAATTTCCAACAAAAAGGGCAAAACTAATTGTACAGCTTGCCAACTTCTA